TGTTATCACAGGCTGAGTACATCAACAAAGCACTCTCCAGGTTCAACATGCAAGATGTTAAACCAGTAAGTACACCTTTAGGTGTTCATTTCAGGCTCTCCAAAGAACAGTCACCAAAGATGGAGGAAGAACGTGCACACATGGTGAAGGTGCCGTATGCCTCAGCAATTGGAAGTCTGATGTATGTCATGGTTTGTACCAGACCAGATATTGCTCAAGCAGTGGGAGCTGTTAGCAGGTACATGAATAATCCGGGCAAGGTACACTGGGAAGCAGTCAAATGGATCCTCAGATATCTGCGGGGTACCACAAACAAAGCACTTTGTTTTAAAGGTGGAGATACGATACTGACAGGCTATGTAGATGCTGACTTAGCCGGAAATGTTGACATTAGAAGGAGCACTACAGGGTATGTCTATACTCTAGGAGGTACTGCAGTGAGTTGGGTTTCTCAACTACAGAAGATAGTTGCTCTCTCCACAACTGAAGCAGAATATGTCGCTGTTACGGAAGCCAGCAAGGAGATGGTTTGACTCCAAAGTTTCTTGGAAGAGTTAGGCAAGAAACAAGAAAACAATGTCTTGTATTGCGACAGTCAAAGTGCTATCCATCTAGCAAAGAATCCGTCTTTTCATTCCAGGACGAAGCACATACAATTACGATATCATTTTATCCGATCTCTTCTGGAAAATGAGATTTTGAAACTTGAAAAGATTAGTGGAGCTCAAAAATCCGACAGACATGTTGACAAAGACGGTGACTACGGACAAACTGAAGTTGTGTTCAACTTCAGTTAGCATGCTAGAGTAACAAGATCATAAATGATGTTGCATTGATCCAGGTGTGAAGACAGATTAAAATCAGTCTTCAAGTGGGAGATTGTTAGAGTTGGAGAAAAGTAAAAAAAAAAAAAAAGGAGGGGGCTCAGCCGAATTATAATTCAGTCTCAGCCGAATTATAATTCAGTAAAGGGAGCAATTTTTCAGCAAAGGGGGCACCGAAAGTGCCCCAATATTTTAATTAAAATGTTTTTGGGTTAATTGTTTTTTAGCCACTGCACAGTTTAGGGTATTTACAAGATTAATTCTTAAGTTTCAACTATAAATACCCTAGCTCATTTAGCTTCAAAATCATCCCAAAATCTTCCAGTTCTCTCTCAAGTGTGTTTTGTAAACACCTGTAATTTTTTCTCTATAGTAAAAGATCTGCAGAAGTCCGGAGACGTAAGCACAATTGGCTGAATTCCGTTATCAATTTTTCAGATATTATTTTTTCCGCTTTTATTTCGTATTCTCACTAATCTAGCTATAGGAAAATTACTTGTACTCGGTTTATTTCCTAACACAAAGTAATACGAAGTTTGAAAAGCTTATTTGTGATTCGTAGAAGGGAAATGATACTGTTGTGAATAAATTCTCTTCTCTTTGGTCCTCCCTCGAAGAATGAAATAAAGTTACGTTTGATTCTATCGGTCAGAGGTAGAGGGAATTGTTAGCTAGATTAAGAGGCGTTGAACATGCGCTCAGAAACAAGTATTTAGAGTTCCTCTCGAACCTTGGGGTCCAACTAAAAGAGAAGCTGAAAATAGTTCTATATCAGGAGGAAAGTTTGTGGATGCAGAAGTCTAGGTGCCAATGGTATATCCAAGGGGACCGAAACATAAGTTTTTTCCATGAGCAGCTTTTCACTAGTCAAGGTACGTGTGCCCCTTTGTCGAGTATGCATGGTAATTTTCCTCGGGTTGATAAGGCAACGATTCATCTATTTTGGCTCAGGTCACTATGGAGGAAATCAAGCAGGTAGTTTTTGAAATGAATCCATCCAAAGCACTGGGTATTGATGGGTTCAAAGCCTCTTTTTTTTCCCAGAAGAATTGGGCGGTAACTGGCAATGATGTTTGTTGTGTGGTTTCTGAGGCCTTCCATTCTAGATGCGTTCTGAATAATTGAACGGAACCCTTCTAGTCCTCATTCCGAAGATTGTTAATCCAAAGAATTTCTAGGCCTCTACATTGTCCTCTACAAGATTATCACGAATTGTGAATCGGTTAAAACCCTTAATGTCTACTTTGATTTCGAAAAACCAAATTAGTTTTATTCTAGGTAGGAGTGTCACAGATAATATCATTATTGCCTAGGAAGTAATCCATTCGATGTGGATTAAAACTGGAACGGTGGGGTGGATGGCCATAAAGATTGATTTTGAGAAGACATATGACAAACTGGAATGACCATTCATTAGTGATACTCTATGTGAGATTGGTTGTCCGGAGGATACTCCTCGTCTAATTATGAACTGTGTGTTACTGTCTCTACTTAGATACTATGGAATGGGTCTACCTCTGCTGAATTTTCACCCTCAAGAGGTATTCGTTAGGGTGATCCACTCTTGTCATATTCGTTTGTTCTTTGCATGGAGCGACTTGCGCATGCCATTAAATCTAACGTAAATAGTGGAAAATAGAAGCCAATTCGTTTGAGGAGATATAGACCGAACCTTTCCCATTTGTTCTTTGCAGATGACCTGGTGCTTTTTATGGAAGCTTCGATGGATCAACTTGAGGTTATTAAGAGGATTCTGGAGGATTTTTGTTGATTTTTGGGCCATAAGGTTAGTCTTTCTAAAACTAATGTATTCTTTTCGAAAAATGTTTACTTGGGTATTAAGGAAGGTATCAGCAGGGGTTTTCAATTCACTCAAGTTGAGGACCTAGGCCGTTACCTTGGTGTCCCTCTTCTCCACCATTTTGTGACCTATGGAACATACAATTATCTTATGCAAAAGGTTAGGGATAGATTATCTGGCTGAAGAGTGAAATCCCTTTCTCTGGCAGGTTGGATTGTTTTGGCAAAGGCAGTGCTCGCGACATTGCCCATCTATTCTATGCAATCGTGTTTCTTATCAAAAAAAATTTTGACGAAATCGAACAACTCATACGAAAAGGTGGAATAATAGGGGTTACTCTCGTAAGTTGGAATGAAGGTTGTAAACCCCTGAATGAGATGGCCTTTGTGTTAAAAAAGTTCAGGACCAGAACTTTGTGTTCATCATGAAATTAGGATTTTGTATCATTACTGAAAAGGATCAACTAAGGGTTCGGTTTTGAGAGCCAAATACCGAATGACGTAAATCATCCCAGACTCGATTCGGAGGCAACGTTGTTCACATTTATGTGTAGGGCTATCCTCGTTACGCAATGAAATGGTTGAAAGTTTGGTCTGGGTGTTGGAAAATGGTCGAACGATTGAATTCTAGATGGATACGTGGTTAGGAAATATTGGGTCGCTGAATGAAATTCGTTGTGGAGCAATCCCGGGTCCTGTCGCGCCGATAAAGGTAACGGATATGGTCTCTACTCAAGGTGACTGGAAGTGGGATGAATTTATTGATTGTCTTCCTGAGTATACACGTGACTATTTTGCAGCCGTGAAACCCCCCTTTACCGTACTGTGGCGAAGATCGCCTTGGTTGGATGTGGGAGAAGAACATAAAATTTACAGTGTCCGATGCCTATAAAAATCGAGTGAATCCGGGTATGACAACCTTAATTGCTAATCAATTATGGAAGCCCCTTTGGAGGTTTAATGAGCTCCCGCGAGTGCGTGTTTTCCTATGGTTGGCTTGTAAGGGTCGCTTATTGACTAATGAAGAGAGAGCGAGACGCCATATAGCAAACAATGCTAGTTGCTCGGTGTGCAGTGCAACGACTGAAAGTATTTCGCATGTGCTACGGGATTGTGTGGAGGCTTGTGCAACTTTGAACGAATTTATCCATCCAGATAGATTGAAAAGTTTCTTTAGTATGGACATTGCTGACTGGGTACTCTTCAACTTAAAACATCCGAATTATTTTCCCACTCATGCTAATGACTGGGAGCAGCTGTTTAGGACTATTTTATGGAGCCTTTGGAGGCGCAGGAACCAACGAATCTTCGAACCAGAGACTTCGATAGCTGAGTGTGTCATCTGTCAGAGTTGTCGATTAGTACGGAAGGTGGATGGAGCCCGGAAACTTGCGATACCAAGACCATGAGGAACTGAGAAAATGTACCGGCCTGTTCATTGGTGCAAGATAAATATGGATGGGGTTCATAATATTACTACAAGTCACTCGGGCTGCGGAGGGTGATCCGGGATGCTGAGGGTCGGTGGATTGGGGGGTTTTTGCAAAAGCTATAGGAATTTGTAGTGCCCTCGAAGCTGAGATCTGGGGTGTCTTGGTAGGCCTTTCGTTGGCCTGGGATTTGGGACTAAGGTCAATCATCCTTGAAACTGATAGCCGAGATACTTGGCTGCTCCTCAAACAGGCAAGGAGCTCAGTGGTGTCTTCACCCCTTATGCCTCACCTTGCTGAACTTATGCGACGAAATTGGAACGTGCGAGTTACCCATGTGGTTCGGGAGAGGAATGAAGCTGCAGATTGCATGGCGAGGATTGCTTGGTTTCTGCCTTCTTGTTCACGAACTTATAGCACCTCACCAGCTGAAGTGTTATCCTTGATTCAAGCTGAAGCACATAGCTTAGCTTAGTTTCATCTTTTCTCTTTGCATTAAAAAAAAATAGTCACTTCATTTAGTAATAACTAAAGGATATAATTTATAAAATTAAAAAAAAAAACATCATTTATCTCTTTTTAGTCCATCAATTAAATTTTTTTGTATTACTCATGTCTTTTCATCTATAACAATTAAAACATTTTTGAATGTGTTAGAGGCAACGGCCACACCAGATATCATACCAAAATTTACCGCATCAGTGGAAATATAATTAATTAATCACATCATCCGAAGATTATCATTTAAGGTTGTAACAGGCAACATGCTAGTAATCATATTTTTACACATATTAATGCCCATTCGGAAGGCACATAAAAGATTAAGCAAAATAGACATTCATCAAAATGTCCAAATAATTGGAACCAAAACCATCATCAATATTATCCCAAAGGCTAAAACTCACACACTTATACATGCAGTACAAAAAAATACTATAATATTATTAAACCACCGACCACTGCTTACATTTCCAATGCTCCTGAGAATCATGAACTCATCCCGAAATCCAAGCCACTCACCGTAATTGTAAACTTGGGTTGGCCAGCTGATTAGGTGTAAATGCATTTGTTCTTTAGTGAAATGGCCTTGTTCATCTGCTTGGGGTCCATGGTGACCCAACACTGAATCCTCTTATAGAACTTGGGTTTAACCAACCTGCCCAAAACATAAGCCCTGGAGCGAACCATGAAGTTGAGTGCCAATGGCACGGGTTGAGTGGGTGCACCATTGAGACTAGCCAAGTTAGCCCCTCCTCCATACAAGGGAATATGACTCCCTTTCATCGTCACAATCAATGATCTTTGGCTCTTTCTGGATTGATAAAACTTGCGTATCTGCACAATAATAGAATAATGATTTTGCTTAGGAAGAATAAATAAGTGAACCCCCCATTATGAAAGAAGACAAAGTGCATAAAACATTTAATATTTGTTTGATAGGGATACTGCGTGCTTGTTTACCGATCCGGTGGCCACGGTGAGCTGAGAGTACGAGAGATCTAAGGGTGTTGATGTTACATGGACCCCAAAAAATGTGGCTGTGTTTCGATATGTGAGCTTCAGTGTGCAGTTCATCGATACCATTTCTGTGCTCACTCCGGAGAAATCCGCACCCGCTTGAACCCTGAATTCGTTGAACCAAATGCTCTGCAAACCACAATCCCATCCCTCTCTGAGGTTAACGGAGCCAAAATGAAAAGATGAAGGGAATGCATGTTAAATCTAGTTATGTGTCTAACCTTCATGGTGATTTTAGGTTTTTGGGGTTTACTAGCTCCCCATAGGATCAAAGAGAACGTGGTGAAGAGAACGAAGAAGCCGACGATGAATGCGAGGAAATAGCAACGTCGACGGTGGAGGCCGTTATAGTCACCTTCACCGTCGAGCAAGCCTTCTTCTTCGATGGCGTCGAACTCTTTCCAGGGCTGCTTGTTGTTGCGGCCCTTGCGAGATCCGTCGTGTTTTCGATGAGGTTTGAGAGATCCAGAGAGGTGCGTGGAAGATGACTCGCGCGACGAATGGGGGCCTAAGGTGGAGTTGGAGTGGGAGTGAGGTGGAGAGCCCATGGGGCTGAGCACCGGCGTCGAGTTGAAAGAGTTGGTAGTCTTTTCACCATCGTGGGAGTCTCTGGATGGACTCTGAACATAGTACATTTGTCGACGAGGGGACCTTGCCGGTGATGATTGACTCACGCTACTCACCTCGGAGTCTGTCTTGGAGAGATGAGCCGACATTTTCACTTGTTCCTCTTGTTTTAGCTGAAGAAGAAGTTTACTTTGATCTCTGAAAATGTAGATTTATGTCAAGACTGAGCACGTTGCAATTGTGTTTAGTTTATTGGCATCCAAGTTATTGTTTGTGAAAGTAATTAATGAGAGAAGATGGGGGGCTTGGCAGAGGGACAGCAATGGCAGTTGTCTCCAGTTAAATTCCTCTTTTTTTTGCATGTAATTCGTCAACTTTAACTAATTTTACACAAACTCTCAGCTCGGATTTGCTGCCTGCATTTTATATGATATGAACTCTTGAACATGAGTGAATAAAGATATAAGAAACTGCACTGAATTCCAGAGACAATATCAACCCTTCAAGGATATGGCAGTGGGCCTCAATATCTCGCTGCAATCTTGTATTCTAAAGTGCTAAATCAAACCTTAAACGAGATAAATCCGCAACAATATCGGTTTAATTTAAGCATTACTTAGTTAAAATCATTCATTAATTGACGCAAAAATATGTTGAGTTGTTAGTGATAGTGAGCTGGTCCCTTGAGAGACGCTTATCATGTGCCTATTACAGTAAATTAGGTTGACTTAAGGGCATCAATGCCACCTTTACTAAGATTCAGTTGACCAACTATCTTCAGACTTCACTTTTGTCAAAAGAGACTTCGGATTTTTCTCCCGGTGTGTTAAACTCTGTATTCTATGGATTGGACCCTGCGGATCTTATGCCTATTGACACATAAACTGACCCACTATAAATAAAATATTTTATGTGCAAAATATACAATTGACCAAAGATTAGAGGATGATTCTGATGGCCAATGTTGGATCTCTGACCACATGCTTATGTTTAACTTGGGTACCAAAATCGGAAGATCTAATGGACCGAAATGATCAATAAAATCCGTATTGATCTTAACCATTTCCTTCATCAGTTTTGGTCCCTTTAGATTATGTTTATAGCTCTGTTTTGGTACTTAAATTTTCTTTTCTATATAGAATTTATTAAAACGACATGCACCTCGAGAGTTGAAACCAATAATCGAATCCAGCCGTGTAATATAATTTGTTTTTCCATGTCCTGCATCTTATAACATATCTGTCCATGGATTTGGTTGGGGCTTTTGTAACCAAATCATTATTCACCAAATAGTAAACTATTTCAAAATTTTATAATTAAATTGAAAAAAAAAACAATTTTCTTTACCATGTACAAACTCAAGTTGGGGCAGGATCCAATATGTAAATCTTTTGTCCAAGATTTGGCTCATACAGGCGGGGAGAATAGTTAGATCTTTAGGCGAATCTACTTGGACGAAATAAAAGGCAAACATCACAGGAAAAAAACAACGAAATCTACATTACAAAATGGCATAAAATGGCATAACCCATATTTGCCATTAGTTTCGTTTCGTTTCCTGAGAAGAAGAAAACTTCTATAGCTCTAAGCCGTATTTGTTTTGTATGCAAGATTTACACGTGATCCATTGAGACAACAGAAAAAGCAATGTTTTATTTTATTTAAGCATTGCAAAAAAACAATGGATTTTAAAGCACAATGAGAAGACAACAATGTGGTGTATGAAGAAAGCTCCTCCAACTCCATTGGAATCATTACTTTGTACCTGCTATTTGTAAGCTATTCCATGTTGATATATCTCGGATCTCAATGCAGCTCCCCCACAGGCGCCTCGTTGAGCCATAGGAAATGGATGAAATCATACAGTTTTGCACTTACACTCACCTGGTTAGCGATAAGAAAATGCTTTAAACTAGTGATACTTTTGACTAGGAGAAGGATACTTTCAAGAAGTTAGTCTTGCAATACCTTGTATGGTGTTGGGTTTAATCTCCTGATGTGATCAGGCCTCATTTGCTCAAGCTGTTTGATGCAGTGGTCTCTAATGTCCTTGAGAGCCGGTAACTCTTCTCTCTCTTTACCTTCAACAGCCAAAAAAAGAGGGGAATTTTTTTCAGAAAATGGGAATAAACAAATTGCTCCAGAGCTTCTCGTCAGCTCAACAGTTGGCTACAACTAAATACGGAGACTCAAACTGATCTGGTATTTGATATTGAGGTGGCAGGGGAACATGGAATAATGTTTCTATAATGGTTTCTTCATGTTCTATAGACAATGCTAAATCAATTTAAAGCTGGACACTCAGAGTAAACAATGTAAAATAAGGTTTGATAAGTTTATCCATTCTGCCCTTGATAGGACGCCCATTATGATGGATATTCTGAGCTCCCACCTGATTTCCCAGGCCAGTAACACTTCAGAAGCTCCTCAACACGCTTTGGCACCACATATGCTCTTTTGGATTCACTAAAAGGGTGACGACATAGAAGTCGTTCTCCAACCTGAAAAATTATAGAGCAGAAAAAATCAGGTCATTCAATCTCATCATTGTAGGTAGCATCTATGTAGTTAAGTATATATACCGGTAGGGTGTGGTGCATACAGCTATTAGTAGTTGATAACCTAACAGAGGGAAAAACAATCCGACCACAAAAAAAAAGTGATTATTCTGAAATCAAGCTGAACAAGCTGATTTACTGAGGATTTAAATGTCCAAAAAGGTGGATTCTATCACCACAAAGGAGAATATCATCTTACTTAATTAGTTTTATGTCAAGGTAGAAATATTCATGTTGGGATGTGGGTAACTAATAAGATCATCAATTATGTAGTCACAAGTTTGGGCCGGCATACTAAGAGTTTTAATATGTAGATCATAATGCAGAAAAATTAAGCATGTATTTAAGTTGAAAAGATATATAATATCTTTCTACATTGAATTCTCAGGTTAAAAGTTACAATTACATCCAAAATAACTGGCTGCAACTATGTTCACATACCCTACACTACACATAGTATAGTACTGAAGAGAAAATTAAGGATGAGAATGTACACATTTTATAGTATTAAAGAAATGGATGAGACTGTTGGTAACTAATCACTGAAAAGTTTTGGAGACTATACAACTGGAGTTAATACCTTTGGACATGGTTCATTTTCCCCTGTCATGATGTCCACCAGGGAATATCCATCCTTGCCATACAATCTGTAGCATCGTTTTTTGCATGGTATAGAGACCTACCATTCAAGAAATAAATGAAAGAATAGAGAAAGAAGTGATTTTATTATACGAAAGAGAGCATGTTGTTAAAATTTCTGGACAGTCCAGTCAAACCTTCGATACATCCTCTGAAAGCTTGATGCGTGGCTGATTATTGATCTCAACAAGCTTGAAAACACAACCCAAAGCTGCTTGCGCATAGCAAGTTACCAAATAGGTTCCTATTCCAAAACAATCGACCTCATGACCCTGCAGAGAAAAAGTGTGATTGAGGCTAAGTAAATCTGCACAAAAGCGCATAACGTACTATATTGGAAACATTGTCATCCTGGTTCAGGCTGTTAAACAGAAATGAATTATTCAAAGAAGTTTTAGTTTACAACCTGTTTTTTTAGTCCATCTAAAGTTTCTTCATTCAAATCATTACTAGCAGTAATGCTAGTCTTTCCAAAACCAGGAACCCCAAATTCCTTCTCAATTATATAAAAGATCTTTCGGGCTTCACTAGACAAGTATGCTAGGTCACCAGAGTCCAATCTGATGCCAACAGCTTTGTACCTGCATTTTTGCATATTCGACTTATCACTGGAATTAAATATGACCCACTGCTTACTGGCATGGATGTAATTCACGTTAACATAAGTCCTTCAAAAGTTATGTCAAGAAAAGTATGGCCTACAGACTATATGATCCATCATGAATGAAGAAGATAAAAGCCTTTAATACAAGAATAATGCTACACATACATAAAAAGGAATAGAGGCAGTATTTGTGGACACGTGACACACAGAGACATGTAACTTGGTGCTTTTCTTTATATGTTTTGGTTTCAATTTTGCCAACATTATGTCAATATATAAACATTAATTCATTTTCTCTCAACCCAACAAGCAAAATGCCAGTATGCTACTACCATAAGCAGCATGATAATATAAATTCATGTTAGAAAGTCATCGGAAAGACAACAAAAAATTACTAAACTTAAGATAAAAATAGATAAAGCATCAAATTGGAGCAAAAGGATTCTTTTGACCCAAATTTTTGCAAATGAGGAACTGTTCTTATAAAAAGCAAAACTTCTATAAATTAAGCATTTGAGGTATACCCCAAGTCACTAAGTGCCAAAGCAACTGCACAGAAGTTGGGGACTCCACTCCTCATTACCTGGTAAAATGGATGTCAAAACTGCAATGTTAATACTGATATATGACGGAATAGACTGCATCAAAATATGGTTTTAAACTTGAAAACTCAAGGAAGGTCTACTTACATCATATGTATCTACAAGAGCAAGAAAGTTGTTAGGAAATGCCAAGGCATATGATATGAAAGCTGCTAGTTCACTCTGATTGGTCTCTCCACAAGTGCTCCCAGGTGATTTCAATGACTAAACATGCAACGATTAGATATAACTTAAGGTTGCTGAACCAACAGAACACATTTGTCTCTATCTCAACCAACTACCTTTGTATGGTACTCTCAAAGTAATAAATGCTTCATCCACAATTCCTCCAGCAAATTTGTGGAGCATGGATAATAAGGCTACCAGTTAAGCAGTCGGGGTCTAAAATCACACTAAGAGAAGTTCATAAGAAGAACTCACTAGTATGGAAAACAAAGCTTTGTCCATCTAATTCATGTGATGTAGGTATAGCATGAATGGGTTTCTGCATTATGTATGAAATTAAAGTTATGGGTGACAATCCTTTAAAATTAGTCGTCATGACAAAATAGCAGCCAATGTAGTCTAAGAAAGCAAAAAAAATAACCCAATTCAAATCTATATGTATATAGATATAACTTGGATTTTGAGAATAAAAGGAACTAAATGACGCAGTGAATTCTTTGCACTTTCTATCATGAAACATAGTTTTTTTAATGAGTTTTAGGACTGTGGGCTTTTGTCTGAACTCTGAAGTTGCAATTGTAAGCCATTGGGTTCTTGGGATAGAA